CCTAGGGAGTGAGATAATCGATGGACAAATGTTGCGTACGGCGGACAACGTACGACGTACGACGTGGAAGCGACCCACAACAACCATGCTCGAAACGGCCTGATTCGGGTTCTCTGACCTCAGAAACGTCCAGAAAACATGTTTTTGAGGTGTCGTAAATTTTTACCCATTGCAATACTTTCCCCTTACACACTAAAAGTGTGCGGAAAAGTGAAAGATCAGTAAATTGTTACCACTTGCTAAAGTAAATAAACATTTGCTGAATGTCTTGATGCAATGATTTTGAGAATTGTGCGCGAGAAAAAAATGCAACGCTTGAATCGAGCATCTGTGTGTTTTTGTGTGGGAATGTTTTTCTTTTAAGATTTTTATCAATATAATTTGGGCGTTGAGCGTAATTTTTGACTGGGCATACGAATGAGATGTGTGTTCCGATGCTTCTACCCATTATAACGGAATAACGAAAACGAAATACAGATTTTCTCATGAAAAACTGCGCACGAAAGCAATTTTCAAAAGTTGAAAATAAGAATTTTAATTTAAAAATACGTACATATTGTTGAAACGTCTTTTTGCTCACATCCTGGCTGAGACACGATACCAAAATTAGGATAAAAGTCAGCATGACCTCTGTAAAAATCAAAACTCCGTTATTTTCGGATGGATTGATTTTTATCAATTTTTACATTTGCAAAAAATAATGAAAAAGCTACCTTGCCCATGATTCTCCTAGCCGTTCGCCATTTGTGTGTATAATATCAACAAAGGGGGCGTCTGTTATTCGAATTGCATCATATGACCATTTTAAATATAAAGGTGCCGCCGGATCTAGATAATAAGTGTTGAGAAAACAGTTTATTTTCATTTTTTCAATCGATTTAATATCGTCAAATTACCTAGTCCAGTGATTCTAAACAGTCAACGAAAAAAGAATTTATTATCAACAGTTATTTCAATCTTCAAGAATAAAATCGAACAACAAAATTAACTGAAATAATAATGAAGGCGTTGATGTCACAAAATCAATATTTTATCAGTATTTGATTGAAAGGAAAACGTGTTTTTTTGTTAGATGTTATTTTCCGATTCGAAAACAACATTGTTGCCTGTTTCTTACCGTCCGACTCGTGATTTCATG